TCGGCTATTTTTGAGCTGATATTGCCTATAACATTTTCTGTTTTGCAGATAGCACTTTTTTGTCTTCAGTAAAGTTGTGTAATTTATTGATTTGAAAAAAGTTGCAGAACATTATAGCAAAGAAAGGAACATCAACTTTATGCAAACGCTGATCCAGAAAGTGTTTACTCTGACGATTGAAAAATCAACATCGATTTTTTCTTCCTCTAATCATTTTATATTTAGCGTGTTCGTTTATGCCAGCTTAATCTGACATAAAACGGTATAATTTCTGACTACGTTTTGAAATGACCGTTAGCTTAACAGTTCATCCTGCTTAATACGAACTGTTGTTTTAAAGCTCACAAAAATGTGAACAAACAAGTTTTTTTGTATTTATGCATATGCTGGCCATATCTAGATTATCATTTCAAGAGGACCTGTCTGCATTTATCTATTAATTTCAGGATTCATTCGATATTCTAATTGAGTAACCACAGTTTTGCAAACATGCTTCATGCTATTTGTGCCAAATAGTTTAAAGAAAAAAAAATGTAATCTATCAACAGAGGGGATTAGAGGCAACAGGGTGGAAGTGATTTGATTGATTAAGTGGCAAACAAACCCGTTCTACACTGAAAGAAATTTCAAATTGATTCGCATACAAAGAATTAGCAGACACATCAAAAATGCTTTTTCATCAAAACGACGAAAGCGCTTTTTTAAACTAAAAGTCAAACATAAATTCGGCGAAACTCTCGCCACTTTCACGCAAAACAACATCACCATGAGAGAGGTCTGGGTTGACCGGATTTTTTGAGACCCTTCTATAAAAAGCGCTTCATAACTCAAAATCGCAAACAGATAGAGAGCTGGCATCTTCTATAAAGTTTACCTCTATATGGTCAAACTAAAAAGTTAGATTTTGCAGCACCCCCTGTGGTGAAGTTCCGAACTGAAACTTAACTTCATTCAATGGGTCTTGTCATTTATAAAAACTCTTCTGAAGACACCCCATTGAAAAAAACTACTGTGAAAGGTGCTAATGAAAAAAGTTCATAGATTTGGCCTTTCGCACCACTGTGCAACGTCGAGAAAAGTGAGTGAGTTTTACTGAATAATTTCAAAATTTCACTTTTTTGGCCATATCTTCGCAACCCAATGTGCGATGGTGATCAAATTCATTAGCGTTCTATAAGAGAACCAAACAAACAAAATAAAAGTGGTTCCACTCAAATCGGTTCAGATATCGTCGAGAAAAGTAAGGGAGAAATTTTGTTTATATTTCAAAATAAATAAATAAATAAATTTCAATGAGGTTTAATGGAAAATCAATATAAATACTTGTACTAATCATTATGTTGAGTTCCATTTGATATGAGGTATCGCACAGGTATGCATTTTGTTACATGTCAGAATCTGTCCACTTTTCGGGGGTACCCGGTACATCTGAAAGAAGCCATTGTGATCATTGGGTCTGAATATATCCACCATTCATCTTCTAGTAAAATTCTAATGTGATTTGAGGTGTCGCTTGATGAGTTTTTGATACATCAACGTAAAGCAGAATTGCTAAATATTATCAACACTAACGCTACATACGACAAAACCGTCGTTGCGTTTGCCGTTCTTTGTAGGTGTGCACTCTGTTCAATGTTCGCGTTGACAATTCGGATCACATCTTCGTACACTGGTGGCTTCGGGGTTGTGTTTTCGTTCCCCATTTTTTTACGGTGTATCACCAGAAGGTGAAAATCACTGTTCTTCGTTTTTACTTAGCACATCACACGTTTTCTATCGAAACTTATCATTGTGCTTTTTCACTTGCACTGATTTTCAAGATTTGCTCGGCGTGATATAATTCGTGACTTTTGAAAGTCATGAAACACAATACTGTGTGCAGTCTACGAATTTCGGCCTGGGTGTGCTAATTTGATGTTTAGCTTCTACTCTTTTTCTAATTTCACTTAATCTTGTTTTAACAGCTTCCATTTTTTACACCTTACATTTGGATTCAAATATTCCGAAAACGCGATTCACTACTAAACGGTCGCCATTTGATATCTTCGGATATCCTACAATTTGGCGCGCGCGAACACTAGACTTATTTATCGAGTTAAAGGATTAACGCGCGCACATAGCGAATCACATACGGGACTTACTCGACTTTAGCGAGCCTAGCTGGGAAAACCAGTAGTAGGGTCGCAAAGAGAATTCTTTTTTCCTTTATTTAACGTCGGTCTCTGTTCCGCAATCTAGTGCCAATCACCGACGGACATCGATTGCCATCCATTGACGGCAACCGAATGTGCAGGAAGCCAGCTGCGTACACCTGCGTACGATATCGCACCCATTCACAACACACATGGGCCGGGACCAACGACTTTACTTCCCTTCCGAAGGAAGACGTGACCAGAGATTTTTATGCCTCAGAAAAATCCCACCGACCTCGGCTGGGATTGAACCCAGACCCATTGGGGTGTTAGAAAGCAGTCACGCTTACCTCTACACCGCCGGTGCCGGCTGGCAAAGAGAATACTAGCTTCTTATTTTGTGAAGTTATTCGATAAGCCAACTGTGAAGTCGGGTCGAGTTTCAGACTAAGAATCTTTGTTTATTGAAATGCATTATCCTTTTATACAGTTTTAGTTACATTGATTCATGAATGTTGAAAAGAGTCATTTGAGAAAAAGAGTGAGACGACTGACACCAAAAATGCGCATCCTAGCAATATCGGAAATAATGGTTATATTTTGGTTGAGCGCCCGGCGTTGTCATTCGAAACCTTTCTTGCTGCGCGAACAACCTTGGTCCACCCGGGAAGGGTGGAAGAGGACGAGGGAGCGCTGCAGTTCTAGTTACGAGTGACAAACATATGGGTCGTGTAAAGTTGCATAATTGCATTCTTGCCCGAGCGATGGCTCGGTGCTTGGAGTGGATAATTTATTAGCATGGTTCATATTGATTGGGGTTTTGTTAGCTATGTGAGAATGGTATACTACAGTAGTCTGCTTCTGTCGACAGCCGAGTGAACACTGATATATACACACATACAGAAACATTTTCCGATCCCGTTGAGATGAGTCTATTAATATATGCCATTCGTCTCTCCGGGGCTTGGAACAAAATTATGTTTTTCAAGTGATATCATAGCCTTTCCGTACACCTTGGTGTACGAGAAAGGCAAAAAGGTTGGTTTTAGCAAATTGCGTTATATTTAGCCAAATTTTTCTCCCAATTTTTAGCCAAATGAATCTCTCACTAAGATGTGCTCGTTCTCCCGCTGCTGGCATGTAAAAGCACCAGAACTAAGTATCTAACGGATTTCCACACTACATTGCATATAAGATCGACTCAAATTTAAGTTTAATTTACTCAAACTCTAGAAAACATAGTTTACGTGTAGACTGAGTAAAATTTTCCGAGTTTCATAAATATTTTCTAATATGACAAAAATCGACGATAAATTTACTCATTCTAGAAGTATACACTCGAATAATAAATCACATATCCAATGGAAAATATTCATTAGAATTTCACATAACTTTCATTTGATGTCAAAATTGGGAATTGTACCACAAAATCACATGAATCTTATGTGTCAAATGAAAATTTAAAGGATTTATCACGAAATTCAGTTAGATATCATTGGTTATGTTAATGGAAAAATATTTTGTGCATTCCCAATGGAAACTATATGAAAACTTTTTCCCGTGTACTAATTTCATATGTACATCGAGATGTTGCTCATATTAGAAAACAAATTCCTGTGAAAGCTCGGAAAGTTTTACTCAGTCTCTGAGTTAACTACGTTTTCAAGAATATGAGTGAACTAATTTCAACTTTGAGTCGACCTCATTTGTCGTGTAATCATAATTTATCTTTTTATTAATTGCTTTTAACGTAAATTGATGCATTCCCAACTCCGATTAGGTTTAATTCGTTAAAAACAGGGTTTTTTTTTGTTCGAACATGACTTTAACTGACATGTCAAATTTCTGAAATTCACAGACATTTTTCGCACTCTTCTGAAAAAAAAAATCTGGCATCTTTGATTCAGAACAAGGTTCTGAAGATGAGTTTGAAGTTGCTTCCTTGGCACAGTACTACCGAAGTACATAGAATTTCGAATGTTGAAACTTTAGAACAAATGTCCAACAAAATAATTAATAATTTCAGGCAAAAATCGTTGCAATCCTAAATTTAAACGATTAACTCCCTTTATACTTAGATAAGATTTAGTCTTAGTTTCTAGTTTTAAGATGGAAATTGTTAAACTGACATACAGGTTTAAAAAAATCCTGTTTAAAATACTGAATTTCCAAGGCAAGATCAATGTAAAAACACTTACATTTATATCATAGCAATTAAGGCTGGTAAGTTACTGTAGTAGCAAGAGCACCTAGATTAAAATGAAATTTAATTTATCTTGAATTTGGAACAAATGAAGAGTTAACAAAAAATCCAATATCCTAATAGTAACCATCCCAAAAACATCGATGTAACCCTATGATAATCCAATTTGAGCATGTCCTTGAAGTCCATTCCGCCGCCAAATCAATATCACTTAAATACTACCACAGCTAATTAGCTCGTCAATGGAATAGTAGAGCGCATCAGAACAACGCATTAATTGTTTTCCGAAACGAATGGACTGCCTTCACTGAATTCCGAATGCTTCCGCTATTCTCTCTATACTAGTCACATTGCCCACGTGCTTCAAGGCCAATTTGGGTGACATCGACCACTGTTGCCCTAAATGGTGATAGATGACCGAAGTATACATAGGTCAAATGCAAGCGACAGAGTCAGTTGTTCATTTGTTTTTCGATACAAGAGAAGGCGGAGGCGTCGGTGAAACGTCCGACGGCGGCATAAAATAGTTGTAGCTCGGAATTGCGTGTGTGTGCGAATAATAATTGACGTTTTACCGGACGTGGGTACTAATTAACGTCACTTAAATGGGTCTCGTTTGCTGTTATGATGTGTTTGGTTTGTTCGCCTCCCAGAATGTTGCTGTTATGGGTCATTGGGAATTTAATGTTTCACATCACGGTAGCTGTTCCTGTCAGCTTGGTAAACATGCACACGTTGCTGAAACTGAACTGAGGGTGAAGCGGACTTTGGAAACTAATTTAAAGTTTGGATAAAGGTACGATTCTATCCAGGCTGTCACCTTTAGCTAGGACCACATGAAAAGGGATTGGTTCTGGTTAATAAACTCACCTGTACGTGGGCGCCTTGCTGTCGAACTCGCTCAGTTCGTAATTGTTGTTGCCGTTTATTGTCTTGGTCGCGCCCGCCGTGGAAGACAGCAACGATGCATTATTATCCTCGACTAACAACGCACAGTTCGAGTTGGTATCGGATTCGCACCCGCACCCCGGAGCACCTCCTACCCCACTACCGCCACCACCAGCAGCAGCAGCACCACCACCACCACTACCACCGCCCCCGCCACCGCCACTGGCAGCAGTTCCTCCCCCACTCCCACTCCCGCTCCCGCAGAGATGCTGCTCGTTGATACAGGTGTACAGTTGTTTGTGCTTGAGCAGCTTCGGTGTGCTCTCCTGTTGGGTGTTAAGCAGCGATTCCCGCTCGCTCTCGGCCGCCTCTATCCGCGTCCGCTCCCGGTCCCGATTGCCGACCTTCGGCTCGGCGTGGATGCCCCCGTTGACGGTTGTACTCGTTACCTGCTGTAACAACGTAAACTAGATAGTTTTCAACCGGAGCATGAGCGGTCCACGTGATGCCAGCGTGCATTTTTATTTTTTATAAATTGGCGTGTGTGTGTCAGCATGTCAATTTGAGAGAGGAAAGAAAAAGTAAAAGAGTGCACAGAAATTATGTCGTTAATAGAAGCAGTGCTTTTGCTGTCGAAGCTTACTTTCGGTGATTGCATCCAATTGATTAGTTGTGAAACGGATTCTACCCCGTTTGTCCGAATTACACCCCCCAATTTACCTGTTGTTGGTCGCAGTCCACCCCGTTCAGTATCGCTCCGGCCATTTCCGTTTGGAGCAGTTTGATTTTCTGAATCATTTCCTTGATCTCGTACCGGAGAATACCAAGGAAGCAGAGCTTCAGGAACGCTATCACACAGTACCCCAGCACGAACAGTATGTCCGCCGTGTGCCGCAGCCAGGAGACGATCCGATCGGCGCAGCCCTGTGGAAATGGAAAGGATTGGTTTTTAAGTAGCCGATGAAGTATTGCAGAGATGCACAGATAAAAATATTTTAACATCTTCAACTACCAACAGGAGCAGGGTTTTAAATATAAAATTAGACGTGTAACGATCTGAAATTCCATTTACTTAAGCTGAAATTTACACGCTCATGTAAATTTATATCGTTTTTCGTTGAAAATTAAATAAATTTCAATTGAACTTTTGATATCCATCAATGTACCTAACGTAAATTTTCAATGATTTTGATGTGTGGTTCAATGACATAACCATGGCCTACTTAGTAATGGAACAAACAGTACAGCGCTCCTACTCGCCGTTTTCCGGAAGATTTCGACGTCTATATGTTGACAACATCGATAACAATAACAGTGTATTTTTTCAGTTCATTAAACGCTCTTGTTTTGGAGACAGCCACCATGCAAGGGGAGCGTAGAAAAAAAAGTCGTACACAGTCACCTCCCAAGTAACATTTCTGGTTTTATGAGGGTTCTGTAGATCATGATTTAGACTTGAAGAATGCTTTAAAACCTCGTTAAAACTTGCAATGTTGCTTGGGCTCCATCGTGGTCCGCATTCAAGCTGGCTAAAGTGTTGAATTTTCCTAGAAACACCGTATGGCGCGTGCTCAAAACGTACAAGGAAACCTTGACGACGAATTGGAAGCGTCACAGTAAACGGAACTGCCAACCGTCAGCTCCATGGAAAGGCCGACTTTGGACAGCTTCCGGGATCAAAATTTTACAAAGCGAAGGCTCGACGAGATGTCCCTGGCAGATTCAAATTTGTTTTTGCGGATAAATTCACACGCAAATATATGATCTGGCTGGCTATTTGCAGCTGCGGCCAGAAGACAAAGGTTTTCGTCACTGAGAAAATGATGAACTCGGAGGTTTACAAAACCGAATGTCTCCAGAAGCGAAATCTGCCCTTCATCCAGTCACATGATGGTCCGGTGATATTTTGACCGGATCTTGCGAGTTGTCACTACAGCCGGGAAGTACAACAATGGTACAACGACCCTCAATGTGACCAATTGTCCCCAGTTCAGGCCCAGTGAAAACTACCGGGCAATTATGAAGAGGAAACTGAAGGTAAAAGGTATCGTTATCAAAACAGCTGATCAGATGAAAAATTTGTGGGATAAAATCGCCAAAACAGTGGACGAGACCGTTGTGCTCCGCTTGATGGGTCGTATTAATGGGAAAAATTCGGGAATTCCTTTCGAAGCCGTGACGAATAATTCGTTTCGTATTTTTCTTAATAGGGGAAATGGATGTAGTGTCGTCCTAAATGCTCCTAATTTGGGCCCATACATAAATTTAGCAATCGACTAAATTTTCAATAGCGACCAAAAATATACATTAGTACCGTCTCAATGACGCGTTCACCTAGATAAAATTGATAAATAGCATTAGATCCATAGACCAACATTAGAGCCATTTCCCTTATATAAGGAATAGTATGAACTGGAGTGAAACCGTTTTCAAATACGAAATAGATGACGTTGTTCCATTACTAAGTGGGCCATGCTTTAACCATGCGTCTGCTAGGTTTCGAAGATGCTGCGAACGGCAACGAACTCGGACTCGATTACCGAATGATTGAGTTTTTGTTTGCGATAAATCAACGGTAGAAGTGAAAAAAGTCGAGTCCAACCTGTATCTCATACAGTTGAAATCGCGGCAACATGAAGCTTGTGGCCCTTATAACCGATGTCACTTCACGGTGAAGTGACAACTTTTCACTCACGGTGAAGTGATTCCCATTTAATTTACACGGCAATCACTTCACCGTGAGTGACAAGTGGTCACTTCACTTTCTTTTCACCGTGAAGTGACACTCGTAATAAGGGCCTATGTGAATTGATTTAGGTTTTAGAGACTGATGTTTTGTATCAATTGTCCAAGGAAAATATTTTACTACGATCTCGGTTTCGATCCATTTTGGATTCAGCAGCTCAAACACTTTATGCTGTGCTTCTTTATTGCTTCTTTATTGTTGTGATAACCACTGAACCTAATTAGAGTTGATGCTAGTTGGGTCAGACCTTGAGTAATTGACATCACCTTCTTGCAACATGAAAGCGGCAAGATGATACACAATAAATGTCCTCAAAAGCACTCTTATTAGTCCGAAATGGTTATTGAAATGTAATTCAATTGATTAAGAATTGACGCTTAAAATTTTGGTGAATCACACATTACATGCTGTTGTTCATAGCTATTCCACTCTTAATTCTGAGGGCAGTGGAACATGCCTGGAAGGGCCAATTTAATGGGACTGTGGACTGTCTAAGACCATTGCTGGCCGTGCAAAATCATGAAGTTTGATATGTCGCACGACGGATTTTGGTTCTTGTCTAAAAATTGAAAATATACCCGGGGACACCGGAACATGCCCGGGAGGGCCAATGGGATCGTGGGCTCTCAAAAAGACCATTACTGGCCAAGTGCAGCAAAATCATAAAGTTTAATATTTTTTTTTTCCTTGGATTTGTTTTCCCTCGTTCTTGTTTTCCGTGCTGAGCACCAATGCTACCGACGCCAGGAAGGCAGCTCCCACACCTGGACCCTACCTATCGACCCATCAACTCATGAACCAGGGATCAACGGCTTTACTTCCCTTCCGAAGGAAGGCGTGATCAGAGATGTTATGCCTCAGACCATCCCGGCGGCGCCGACTGGGATTGAACCCAGGCCTGCTGGGGTGAGAGGCAATCACGCTTACCACTACACCACCGGCGCCGCTCATAAAGTTTAATATGGCACATGACATGTTTTGGTTCTTGTGGAGAATTGGGCACTTCCCCGGGGGCACCGGAACATTCCCGGGAGGGCTAGTGTGACCGTCGACTCTCATTAAGGCCATTACCGGCCAAGATTGATTAAATAATGAATTTTGATATGTCGCACGATGGGTTTTGGTTCTTGTCGAGAATTGGCCACTTCCCCGGGGGCACCGGAACATGTCCAGGAGGGCTAGTGTGACTGTGGACTCTCAGTATGGCCATTACCGGCCAAAATTTGTCAAATCATGCAGTTTGATATGTCGCATGATAGGTTTTGGTTCTTGTTGGGAATTGGCCACTTCCCTGGGGCACCGGAATATGCCCGGAAGGGTTAGTGTGACTGTAGGCTCTCAATAAGACCATTACAGGCCAAGATTTATAAAATCATGAAGTTTGATACGTCGCACGATAGGTTTTGGTTCTTGTTGAGTATTGGCCACTTTCCCGGGGGCACCAGGACATGCCTGGGAGGGCTAGTGTGACCGTGGACTTTCAATAAGGCCATTACCGCCCAAGATTTGTAAAATCATGAAGTTTGATATGTCACACGATGGGTTTTGGTTCTTGTTGAGAATTGGCCACTTCCCCGGGGGCACAGGAATATTTCCGGGATGCCCAATGTGTCCGTGGAACGTCAGTATTGCTGCCATTGGTCCAATTACATCATTTGAGAGAAAAAAACATGATGTTCATCGTGTGTATACCTATTACAGAACAGTATAGCCGAATGCCGACCAAAAGTGACCCCAACGGGAACCGGAATAACTCCGGAACCATGTATTGATTCAAATGTTTTCAGATAGATTCAAAAACTTCAATAGATTCAATAGAAGTCAGGACTAGGAATCGGTGGTAGATTTTACATCCCGTAACGTACCACGAAAAGGTGATCTACCCACGTTATGGGACTATGGTGAGGTATACAACTCGAACAATAGTTCGTTGGTATCAATAAATACAGAATTATCATTTTCGACTCCACTGCGTCCTAGCAAGAAGTACGGTCGACTTAGTTCGCGCTCCGCTATTTTGGAAGTTTTCTCGATATTCACTTGATTTAAATTATCAGTTTTTCTCGCTTAGTGTTTCCTGACATAGTTCCCAGTTAAACAATAAACTAAAAGTGAGTTTTTTTCTGAGAAGAAAGTGTGTTTTCGGCATCATCGGAAGGAAAATTGTTTTGGCGATTGCCAATTCGCCAACCATTTTGCGCACCATCGGTGCGTGGTAACGCATACCTGCACACGGATCATCGTCATCGAGTGTCAGCATCTGCCTCCGCACTTACACCGCTCATCTATCATCGTGTGTTCAGCTGAGTGCCGACCCTCATACAAGCACACACCAACGAAGACCGCCCGCACACGCTGATCGAAGATCATCCACGCTGCGCGTCGCTCCGCTGCTGCTGTTTAAACGCTCGGTGGTAGTAGTATAGGAGTATCAGATAAGTTTTTGTTCTTGTTTCTCTCTTTCGCCCATCTGTTAAATTTTAAGTTTGTGTTCTGTGTTTGTAGTTTTTTTTTTGTGTATTGTGTCCGAGTGATTATCGTTTCAGTGGTAGAGCGTTTTTCGCTCCCACTAGTACGGCAAAATGGACATTTTGTCGCAAGACGAAATGGACGTTTTGTCGGAAGATGACACCACTTTGCCACGCGATGGCAAGAAGGGTCGAAAACGTACGTCATCTCAGAAGAAAGATGATGTCATCCCTGGTTCATCGTCTCAGTCTGGCAAAGGACAGGCTCAGATAAACCCCCGATCGCGAGCCTATCCAGATGACTCGACTGGCCCATGGGTTGTCTACTTTCAGCCCAGAAACAAACCTTTGAATGGAATGCAAATTACGAATGATCTGACGAAGCGATACTCGGCCGTGACTGAAATCACGAAGGTTAGGCACAATAAACTTCGTGTCTCCGTCTCTAACCTGAAGCAGGCTAACGAGATTGCTGCCTCCCAGCTCTTCACGCTCGAGTATAGAGTTTACATCCCAGCTCGTGATGTGGAGATCGAAGGTGTGGTCACCGAAGCGAGTCTGACCCCCGAGATCTTGGAGAAGCAGGCGGTTGGCCGTTTCAAGAACCGTTTGCTTCCCCCGGTGAAGATACTGGATGTCCAAAAACTGGGCTCAGTATCTGTCAGCGAGGGTAAAAAGAGTTTTACCCCCACAGACTCGTTCCGTGTGAC